CATGCTTTACCTGATGCGCTGCGTGCAAACAGTTGCATTTTAAACGTGGGCCTTTCTACAGCTAAGCGGTAGACCAAAGGGTTTTTACCGTTTCCTTTCAAAGGGAACATTTCTGGTACCTTCCAACCATACCAATATAATATATTCTCGGCACAGATGCCTGTTCCTTCTTCCAGTCCCTGGGCATGTGGTTTTATCGCAGCTCTGTGCTTCCTTCGTGGAATTAAAGAGCAGGGTTTAGTAGCTCTGAGGCAGGAAATCCTGTATTTTCACAGCTCTAAGGACTTCATATTGTTTGATCTCAATAATACCTTAACTCCTGCAGCAAATGGGCCTGAGGGAACACTTCACATGATTACAAGACAAAAAGCCTGGGTAAGTTTAGTTTACTCCTGGTAAAACAAACGTGGGAGAGAAAGGAGGTGGAGGAAAAGATGGGCACAGCTCTGAGTCGTTGGGGAGCAATGAACTTCTTTTTACACCACTGAACTCCGCAGAAATACTCGGGCAGGAGCGTCTGGCAAATGCTGCCCGGCCCGCACCGATCTGTGGCAGCCACGCCACCGCTCGGATTGCTTCTGAGCAGTCTGACTGACTGATTTTGGTTTCTACTGTACTTTCAGTCCGGTTCAGTAAGGGATTTTCTCAGCTGTTGTTGTGGCCGTACCTGCTTTTCTCTGTCTACTTTGCTGCTTTCAGAGAACCACCCAACGGCCTGGCTCTGAAGGCACCTTGACAGATCACCCGGGCCAACCTCCTGGGGGAGAAGCGGCCCAGAAGAGCAGCAGCCCCCAGCACTGAGAGCAGCTCGGCGGGGATTGCGGGTGGCCGAGAGCTGCCGCTGACAGGAGCGCGGGAAGGAGCTCAAGGCCAGAGCTCCTGAAAATGCCCTCAGAGGAAGAGGCCACAGGATGCTCCTTCCCCTTTGGAAAAGGCCAAAACGTAAGCCCCAACCCTCCGCTGTTTTGGTTTCAGCTGTCACCGTGAGCGGCCCCGGCGCTGCAGCCTGCAGGCGCTCTGCTCGCGAGACGCCGACGTTACCCGCAGCGCCCGCCCGCCGCCAGGGGGCGCCCGCTGCCAACGCAACCGGCGCCGGGCGCTCGCCCCGCCCACCGCCCGCGGCCCCGCCCACCGCCCCGCCCGGGGCCGGCGCGTCCATCTTGGTGGGGGGGGAGGCGGCGGGGGAAAGGGAAATAAGATAAATAATAATTAAAAAAAAGCTATCGGTGAGAGGAAGGGAGCTGACGAAGCGGCGCAGGAAAGGCCAAGCGGGTGTTTCTTTTTGCCACTTCACGCTGGCAGAACCCAAGCAGGGGAAAGGCAGTAATCATTTTAAACCAGCTTTAAATTGTCGGGACATAAACCAATTGCTGGCGGACGCTGTTGAGTAATTGCCTCAGATTTCGCGCTCTGTAGCTATAAAACTTGTCCTCTAGTGGCGAGTTGTGCTTCTACCACCTTTCATTCTTTAAATGGACTGTAATTGCCCAGCTCTGAACTCAGACCAAAGGATTCCCTACTCAGAAAAATTAAAGTATTTCATCTTATTTCACACACTTAGCTTTTTCCCTGGAACATAAAGAATTTTAGACGGAAAGGTCGGTCTCTGGACCACCCGGAACCACTCCGCTCGCCTCCTCACCTTCGTGGGGCTCGTGTGACGCCAGCCGGCGCGGCTCACGCTGCAGCCCAGGGCTCCTCTCCTCCTGAAGGGAACGCCGCACCCGTCCTCCTTTCCGCATCGCTCACGGGCGTGGAAAACTCATGCTAAGCCGTGCTGCCCGCAGTTTGATTTCGGCGGCAGTCATGTGTTGAGTAGGCAGACTGCAAGAACAAACAAACGTTTGCATCGCAGGAGAGAAAAGTTTTAACAACACTTCACTTTCAAAAGCAGCAGCGTGAAGTTTTGCCCCTACTTGGCTCCCTTCCTACAGAGAAGCAGCTTCATTTGCATCTGGTGTTTTGTTTGCAGCTTTATACGAAGGGACAGTTTAGTCTTAAAAACATAAAGCAAAGCTCACAATTCCCCTACCCCCTCTCTGAAGAATCCTGACTCTTCAGCAGAGGTAGCCAGGCTAAACATGACTTCCTCCTCCCCCAGCTGCTGTTTGCAGAGACAGCTGAAATGTCTGTCTGTGGCTAACAGCCCTGGGCTATCATCCCTGGCAATTTTATTTCCTTCTTGTGAGCACATACCGTTTTCTTTGCTTTACTCCCGTGGATCAGAACGCCATGCTCCGCTGCCTTGCTCCCTGTGCCAGCCGGGCAGGTGACAGCAGAGGCTGTAACTCGCCCTGCTGTGGGAGCCGCGCGCTGGGGCTGACCTGGAACAGGTTCCCTCATCACAGCTGCTCTGTGACACCACGGGCTAAACTGCTCCAACTGAAAAATAACTTTATTTTTTCCCCAGAAAGTTTAGTTTCCTGCTACAATTCAGCACAAGGGACGGACCTCCTCTAATGAACTTGTCTTACCTTTATTTCCACAGGCTTTTTCTAGCCTCCAGTCCCTCCCTCCTTCAAGCGGGCGCAGGAGACGCCAGGCATACAGAGGTAAGGGGAGAATCTGCACAACAGTAAGGTGTCCTTGCTGCATGGCCAAGTCTATTCTGGAAGAAAAATGAACCCTTAGAAAGCAAGCTTACCTTGTAGCAGCACAAGAATAACTTAAAATGGGGTAGCTCGCAACACTTACCACTCTTCATTAATCAGTACCGGCTGAGGTTAACTAACGCCTCCAGCACGCATTGCAACACCCTCCTGGGGAAGGCCGGGGTTCAGGGGACACCCCGGTGCCGGGGCAGGGCTGGCGAGGGCCCGGGGGCAGGGCACGGGCTGCCCGGTGCTGAAAGGGGCCAGGTGTGAGGAGGGCTGCGCCGCCCGCCCCAGGCCCCCCAGGGGGTCGTGCAGCCCCGGGGTCCCCGTCCCCGCGAGGAACCCCGGCGCGGCTGCCCCCGACGCCTCGGGGCGCTGTAGGTGTTAGGAGCCAGCCCTCAGCCAAGGCCCTTCACGTAGAGGCACGGCCCCCTGAACTCATCCCAGCTTTCCCGTGTTTGCTGGATGATGAACACAGAAGTTCAGCTGTACGTGCGCACTAACGCTGTTCGTATAAATCTTAATTTGTTTTTTTATACTCTGCAACATTTGTAGAGATTTAACACACGCTTAGTGTCAAAACACCTTGGTTTTTATTTTCATATCCTTTTTGAATCAGGTTAAGCTGTAAACAATTTATTTTTCAATCAAATACTGCCAGCTAGAATTACTTCCATCCATGCATCACTGAAAACAAAAAGGGTATTTTTTCCTTAAGTATAGATTTTTCTTTTTTTAAACCATGTCACTTTATACAGAAACCAATAGCTAGATTCGATGCACCCTGATTAGTTATGTAAACAGATAACCCAAAAAAACCTCGTCAACAGAACTAGTAAGTTGGTTCCTTCATAGAATGGAAATTTAAATGTCTCCTGACTTGAGGTTAACACGGTCAGGAGTACAGAGTGTGTGGCACATAAATCCATCTAGGAGGTGTATAAATTGCACTGTATCTGAATTAACAAAGTTATGCATAATGAAATGCACAGTTTAAGTTCATGCTAGAAAGCATTTTTCAATATGAAGTGGCAGCCAACCGGCAACCATAACAGTTAGGTTCTGCACCATCATTTATGGCATTATAGGTAACTATTACATATAGCATACTTTAAAACCCTGAAGGATTGTGTTACTTGAAACATTCTCCAGGCAGTCATTTGGTTTGAAACATTGGGAGAAAGACTAAGGAGCTTGCCATCTTATACCGATTATGGTACCTTGAACTTTTATGAAGTAGATCAGATATGATGTGTATTTCACAGTAACAAAGTTGCTTTAATGCCTTTTCTCCAACAGTAGGATTGTGTTAGATGTTTCTGCCCTCAGATCACCATTGTCCTGGTGGTTTTCCCTTTTCTTAGGTTTGGGTAACTACATTGAGCACTTTTCCTGGTTTTTAACTATTCATCAGTCCTTTCAGTATATCTTCGGAGAGTTCCAGCAGAGGGAGTTCGGGGGACGGGATGTCCAGGGGGGGAAGGTTGGGTATTGGAATGTCCTTTGCCTTCCCAGCAGCTGTTGCAAACTTCTGCCAAGTTGCAGCTGAAGAAGTCGTTTCCGAGTGTTGCTGCAGACCCCACAACTCGGACTTCTCGACAAAGTCAGCATCTACATCCAACTCCTTGTCTACTGGAGATTTTTGGAGTCTAGCTCTTTCTGCTTTTAACTGCTTATTCTCTCTCCTTAATCTCTCATTTTCAGCCACAAGAAACTCTATGTGCCGTTTCAAATCTGCAATTTTGGTTGCCTGCTCTTCTATTATTGTTTTGTCATCTTTTGGAGCTTTACTCCCAATACATGCTTCCACTGGCTCCTTTTTTTGCTGAAGCAGAAATAATAGCGTATCCGGGTCCCTGTCAAAGACACCCTGAATATCCTGTGGATGTTTCTCTGAGGAAGGGCTGTATTTCTGAGCGACAGGAACCAATACGTTCTGATCATCAGAGTCTTCAGCAGATGGCTTATAAGAAGTCTGAAGATGTGCGGCTATTTCCTTGTCAGCATTTTGCTGGGCTTTCAGCTTTTCCTCCCTCTTTGCCCTTTTCCACCTCTCCTGGATGAGCAGTAACTGTTTCATGTGACTATCCCTTTGTAATTCCAGTGATAGCTGAGCCTGAGTAAGAACAAGAGTAAACAATTCAATCGGTGATCCCTAATCCCACCTGAATATTCATGCACGTAAAGCTACATGCAAGTAAATGTTTACATAAACAACATCACAGCGTGCCTGAGGGAGGGGGAGGAGCTTTTGTTATTCAGGTACTAAATCCAACAAGAAGTGCTCTCTGCCTGTACAGTGCAAGAGATTCAGATATGTCACCCAAATTTAGCATAACTACTGGTATTGTGAATGAGTGAGTTAACATTTGGTCTGTTTGGGTTTTTGCTTGTTTTCAGGTCACTGACCAGGATACGATACCTCTGATCCGAGGCACCAGGAGTTTAACTGACCTATGACCAACACCACGAAGGAAGAGATTCGCTTGGCATGCACAGCCACGCTTTCGCTAAATAATACAAACTATCTGTATGCTTCTTGTGATGGTATCTGTGTAGACAAAACAGTAACACCCAACGCTACGCAGAAAAGTGCTCCAAGGCCAGGTATGGTCCCAAATGATTCAGCCATATTTAATGAAGCGGGTGGCATGGTGGTTAATAACTCACAGGAACCACCTGGGTAAGGGGGGTACCATTTTTCTACAAGAATGACCTTTTGGAGGAAGAGACAGACGTCCCATCTCCAAAGGTTATTTGCTTTGATAATACCAGCCAGACTCAAAGCCTGCTGCTATAAAAGCGCTGAGCAGACTCTGCTACTACATTCACAGATAGATTTGTGCAATGAATAAATAAAGGTGTAGGGCTGTTGTTCTGGAGATCCCCCAGTCAGGATAAATAAAACCAAAATTACAGACTGTAGATGAGGTGCTTAGATTTGTGTCTCAGCAAAGCAGCCTAAGAGCCTCATAGCAAAAGTTAAGTATGGAACTAGTTTTTATCAACTACCTGAAGATGCCTTGCAGACTAGAAACCATTGCTGCAGAACCCCTGGATGCGTTAGGAGTTCTCTTGTCCCTGTTCCATGTAAACTTTGAAAAACTCTCAAGAAAGACTAGCATCACTGCACTTCTGAAACTCCTGGTGCAGCTGCCACGGGTTCAGAAAACTATGCAGAGGCTAACACCCAAGGGGAGTATGATGAGTCAGGGCACAGTATGACACACAGGCACACAACAGAGCTACGGCTGACTCCGGCATCTGCGGCACTTTGGTCTCACCTGCTCTGACTGGGTCAGCTTCATAGCGTCTGTAAGGTATGCTGCAGAAGAGAAAATTGATAAACACTTAGGACAGGGTTACAAAACCAGAACGTTTCCGTAAAAGCTAAAAACAGGCTTCAGACCTTCCATATTCTGAACACCCGCATAAAAGCAGCAGTCCAGAGGCAAAGTTTTTACCAAGTTACAGTGGCTGGAAACACCTGCTGTTTTTCAAAAGTCTGAAAAAATTACTGTAAGATCATGCAATACACGTTACACCCTTCCCATGGCATCCTGTTGGCTCAGGTTGTTCCAATTTGTTTTTCAGAGGAGGACAGCAGCCATTTCCAGAAAGTCCCAGAAGAACAACTTTCCCATGAAGGGAAGAAATGCAGTTAAGGACCAGGCTTTTAACATACAAGACACATTTTAAGACAAAATGTGGTAAGTAAAATCCTCTTGCCCATGGCACACCAGTATTATGAAGTCATGCTTTTTAAATTACATTCCTGATGAAGAGTCTGTAGTTCTCCACTTTTTTTCATCAACTTCCCCTCCAAACCAGAAAAAGTGCTGGCTTAGAATCAAAGCAGTACTCTAGACTTTGACCGTATCTTGCTAGTGCTGAAAATGACAAAGTCTAAAAAATTCTTAACCAAATTCAGAAGGATTAAGATAATAGCATAGAATCATTAGATGAAGAAAAGCAAAACATTCAATGTATTTCTGGGTTTTGCCTTGGTATATAAAGTGAAGGAAAGCAAAAAGCAAAGTCTGCATATTAGAATGTAGGTGCTATCCCTTGTTGCTCTGAGTATTCATAAATACCAAAGAAGTGATCAGTTTCTCATTTTATGGGGTTTTCTAGTATTTGTGAATGGAAGGTGAGAATGCCTGGTATCTAGGTTACGATGTTCGGAGTAGCCACTTATTTTGCCTCCACACAAGCCCTGCCACTGGAAATGTCCTACTTGTTGCACCAATTAAGACCTCCTCTTTCTTCTTCTGCCAAGCAGTTGCCGCATGTTCAGACAGCTGACGGACTCCAACACAAGTAATGAGGCGTGACTAATTAAATGGACAGGTAAATGAACAAAGTCTCACTTAGGAGGGGCTGTCGATTGCAGTGTCAAGCAAGGCCGGTGATGCAATCTGCTGTTTTGCTTGAGTTCTGGGAAAGATGAGCTCATCACCTGTTCATAGCTGTCTTGATTCAGACATTGGGAAGTAAACTTTTGTAAGCAAACATTTGTCTAAGTATTTCCTCTATCAACAGAGAAAGCAGGTGACTTCAGCTATGAAAGCAGCGAAGAAAACACAAAGTGTGAAGTGAAACTGGCTTACAGCAGGTCCCCAACTGCAGTTTGTGCGTGTCACAACGTCTTGGCTTCATCTCGAGTCAAGAACTGCCTTCACAGTGATAACCACCCCCAATCAAAACAACTTGGGAAACATCTGACTTTAGCTGTTCATATTAGAAAAAAAAGTTTCCAAAAGGGTGCTTGATCTGGACTGAAAATCAAATTCACATTTTAAGAATAAAAATTTTGCAAGTAACTAGATATTCTACTTACATGAAGCATGCAAATCTCAAAACTGATTTTAAGAGATGGCATGTGAGAAATACCTACTCACCAGCAGCTTTTTTGTGACACGAAATTGCTTCTTCATATTTCCCTGCTGCCAACAAACGGTCTGCTTTTCTGCTCTGCTGGTGAGCCTTAAAACAAAGAGCACTGCATCAGTGAGGGTTAGCCGACAAACAGTTATACCTGTTTTCAAAGGTAATCAGTACATCTAAGAAACATGTACTGATTCCAATTCTCAGGCTTTTAGGCTCAGATCTCCCACTCCCTTCCAAGCTTTATAATTTGATTTCTTCTTTAGTACTACCTTACAAGAATCTGTACTGTACAGGTAAGGACGTAAGTTTGATAACGCAGCAAAGATGGTGTGTATGCAACAAAATCCTTTTAAGACTGTTCCTCAGAAAGTACATGTTCTCCTTTATAGGCAGGCATTTACTGTAGTTGTGTAAAAAGACCAGTAGGCCATAAGAAGTTATGAAAAGCTGTAAGTATTTAGGGCCAATTCACCTGGCAGAATGCAAGATACCTGAATTATGTTGCATCTTACAGCTGATTTGAGATTTTCTGCTGCCCCATGCCCAAGAGGCTTAGCCTCTTGGGTGAAGAAATTGCAAATGATCTTGGTGTTTTTTTCTTCGCAGCTTACACCAATTAATGGAAGCAGCACAGCCATAGTTAAAGATATCAAAGTCACGTTGCTGCTGTACAACACGTAAGTCTATACTAGTACTTGTCAGTCACTAATGTAAACCACTGAGGTAGACTAAGGATGTTGCTGAAAGCAAGCAATTGCTGCAAGTATTTGCATATGTTCAGTGAGAGGCAGTATTGCATAACCAGCACCGCAACACTCACGAAAGCAAGTCTTTTTGTCATTACTATAAGATGTGAATTTTATGGTCCTTCCTCCAAGAGAAGCTGTGTAATATGAAAGGCTACGATCACTCACTGCCAAGCCTGCCAGTAACACAGACTATTCATGCCTGCTTTACCACATGTTGCATTTGAAGTAAACAGCCATCAGGTACCAGGCACCGACTCTGTGAAACAACGCAAGACACTTATGAATCTGAAGAAAGTGTTTGCCTGTTTCTTTGTTCAAGATTACTGTTTCTCACGAAAGCCTTTACCAAACCCACACTGACTGAACCTGCAGGGGAAACAGAGCCGAAGGCCTGAAATCTGCCTCGCTAATTCTGTCTCTGAACCATACAAATTCTCTATTCCCTCCCTTCACCCAAATAAAGGCATAAACCATATCAGACTTCAGATGTTCGGTGAATGCAAGTCACCGACTCACTTTAAGCATCTTCCAGGATCAACAATAAAATGAGCGCGTTTGTCCATATCCTAAAATGTTAGAACAGCTCGTTTCCTACAGGCCTTACAGAATTACTTTTTTCTGTCTCCTGCAGTCTTGGTAGAAGCATCGAAGGTCAGATAATCCAAACAGGATGGTAACACGATTCTATCAGGACTAACGTGATAGTTATACTAACGTACCCATTTAAAAGATAAATTCCAACATGCAGGTTGATTTCTTTGTCATCTTTGTTCTCTAAATTGATTCATCACTTGTTATAGTAAATTCAATTTTCTACCAGAATTTCAGCAGCTTTGACACCATAGAAGAGAATGACTTCTACAGAAAACACTCTTTTGGCCAACAGCTGTTTTCGAGTAATCTCTAGCAGTTATATCACTGCATTTAGACACTTGCCTTTTCTAAAACTGATTTCAGATGCTAATATGGAGTGTTCTTAAAAAAATCCCCTACAACTCCTTGATTCTTCACAACAAATATTTCAGTTATATTATTCTTCTACACCTTCATTCAATCCTCAGAGCGTCATCAACATTCCCTGTTTCTTCTGAGGTTAAATAATCTCAGAAGAAGAAGTGTTTTTCTACTGGAAAATCATCTATTTTATGGCCTTTTTCTATGGACTCCTACAAATGACATGCCAGAAAGGTAAATTTATTTCCCATGGGAATGAACAAATGGTACCAGCTCATATAAAGCCATCTCCTCAGTTATTCATGGCAGCTCATCCAGTTACAAATTAGCTATGTCACTGACATAAAAACACCTGAGCTAGCTCCTTGCAAAACAATTTTTCAATAAATTGGTATTGATACAGCTGCTTCTGCAAACTGCATGGGCAGGTCTAAAAACCCAGGGAAAGAGGAAATAGGGTAGCTAGAGGCAGAAGAGCTACAACAGCAATTCAACAAGCCAGGGGCCTAGTTCCATTTATTAGCTTCTGCATGTAAGATTTTGAACCTGATTTTTTTCAAAGTTTATTTTCGCATGTTTTAAACTACTGGAGCATGATCTTACTCAAATCACTTAAGCACATGCAGAACGTTTGAGGACAGTCAGTTGTTATTTGATTGAGCAATTTATTTCCATTCTCAATTAACTCCCAGTGAAGCTGAACGGAATCTGAAGTTGGGCTAGACTGTGAATAACATTAGGAAAACAACAGTCCAGAGCAAAAAGTTAGGATCCTCTGATTACAAGGTCAAAATGCCTTCCTTGCTGTTACATCAAAATATATAGATGTGAGGCCATCTTACTCTGATGCAGAGCACCAGATTTCCCCTGTGGAAACAACAGGAACCACAGCATAGAAAAATCAGTTTCAGCACAGCCTTGGGTGAGGGAGGTAGGTGTTTTGCAGCCAGTAATGGGGGAAGAATTCTTCATTTTGTATGTTTTCCTGACAGCTTGACAAGGAAATATTTGCTCATTTATTCCACCCTGCGAGTGTTTGTTCCAGTTAGTTGATTGTGGAAAGACCAAGGAATTTCTCCCATTTTCATGGTAGATCATTCACCACCAGCGGTTTGAAGAAATTAGTGATGCTGTCCCTAGCAGCAAGTGGTGAAGCTGCAACAGAAGTACTTGGACGCTTAGTAGCCATATATCATAGATAAGCTGCTACATCTTGTCCAGTCTGCTGGTTTATTCTTAGTACTCAGTTACACTTGGCCACACAGCACCCAACCACTGTTAGCAAATCTATTTTGAACTCAGAGGGGCCTGTATCCCATTATAAAACTGGCAATGGAAGAATTTGTCCTATATCATAAAGTGAAAAAAATGGCTCTCAAGTTTATCCCTGGTCTGATGTCACGCTAGAGGAAGGTGTTTACACCAATTCTGGAGCTTCTATGCTGGCTCCCAACAGATTCAAGTAGGACAGCTTTGATTTTGGTCCTGCTGCTGTGGTGATCACAGAAACAGCTGCTGCATAACTGCAGTGGGCTTATATATATAATTTCTCTTTCCTCTTGCAGTTGCAGTGCTGGAAATAAATGTAGGATGTGGTGTAAGAAGAATTATCGTTAATTAACAAGCTATGGAATTGAAGGGGGGAAAGAGGTCAACAACTACTTCCAGATGTCCCTCCCAATCCAGAGGAGCAGGAATTCCCTGTAGGCAAATGGGCAGGTGAAACAACTTGACTCTCCTAAGAGGAAGCAGGTGTGAGCGAAGGATGACCAACTTAAAAAGCTTCCTCACCTTGCCCTGACGTATTTGGTTCTTAAGGGATTTGTGCATGCCTTAGTGTGTTACTTGAACCACTCTGGATCAACTACAGAAGCAGGTAAGCTAGATAGCTTTCCTCAAACTTTCTAACTGCAGCTGATGCACTAAGGGATGAAACTTGAATTTGTAAGTTTGTATTGCTATTCCAGAGAAATACTCCTATTTATTTTTTCAATCCAACTAGCCCAAATCCTTGCCTATGTAATCTCTAAGCAACAGCATAAAAAAAAAAATAACCAAACCACCCTCTAAAATAGTAAAGCAGGTATCTTCTTTGCCTTTAGTTTTTCTTTAGCAGCCCCAAAATTAACAATCAACTTTTTTTTTTTTCCTCCAATATAAACTAGACAATGACATGACTGCAGGCCATATGAAGCCATAAGGCCCACTTGTCAGATCTCTTACCACTTACTCAAGCTAAAAAAATAAAAATGCCACTTTTCTTTCTAGAGATAGTGCACCATCACCACTTAAAGGATTGCCACTACATGATCCTAGTTTAGGTTGGGGGAAGCTGCTGTTTTTCCCATATGATTCTAGTCGATGGTTAGCTATTACAGAAAGCAGAGTAACAGGAAAAAAGGTCTGCTTGATCCTACGATGTATTTAAAAGGTAGATGTAGTACTACTCATTTTCAAATAGGGTAAGTCTACTACCCTCTCCTGAGAGCAGCAATTTGCAGCAGTCCTCCTGTAGCTGAGACAAACAGTCTTGTGTATGTTTTGTTTCCCTTTGTTCCCTTAATGGGAACAGCTCTTCACTGGACAAAGCCTTGCACAAGATGGTAAGCTTACAGCCTTCTTTGTTCATTGTAAGGGACCTTCTAGAAAGTGATATATTTTAATATGATTAGGAAGCACAGATTACGGTGCCTTACTAATAAAGTTACAAAGGAAGGCAGGAAAACACAGCTGCTAAAATGATGGGGCCTGAGGAAAGCCAACTGCAAAGAACTTCTGTCTAATATAACAGTTTGTAAATGTTTTAAGTGAAACCACTGTTTGCTGCTAACATCATCCGTTGTATGGTACGGGCTGTGGACACTAGTTATCTTTGCCAGAAAGGATCAATATCTGTGTTCTTTTACTGCTGAAAGCAAAAATGAAGGTATTTTTTTGAGACGTGAGGGATCTATTCGGGGATTTGTTTCCTTAACAATACAGAGCTGTCTTTCTAGGAATGTATTTTGGGAAAGGAAGAGTCAGACAGTGTACATTGCATTGTTTCCCTATTGTACAAAAGAGTGTTAAGTATCTTCCACGTGGATGTTTACAGCAGCAGGCCCGGTGGGTGGGGTGAGGTGGTTTCTCCCACCCCACAAACACTGTCAGTGCTATACCTACAGAAGTCTCTTTCAAACCCCTTCTTACCAGAAAATAGTGAACGTAGAAAGGTTTGAATGTGTATGTCTGCATATGCCTTGAAAAACTGATTGAAAAGAGAATACAAGTGGGAAACGTGACCTGAGAAGTCAA